TCGGTCACCCAGACTGGAGTGCAGTGGCCACTCCTGGCCACCACAGCCTCAACCTGCTGGGCTCCGGCAATCCTTCTGCCTCAGCCTTCCAAGTAGCTGGAACTACAGGTGCGCGGTACCACGTCTGGCTAATTTTTTGATTTTTATTGTAGAGATGAAGTCTCACCAAGTTGCCCAGGCGGGTCTTGAACCCATGGGCTCAAGCAATCCACTCACCTCAGCCTCCCAAAGTGCGGGATTACAGGCTGAGCCACCGAGCCCGGCTAAAAAAAAGATATTCTAACCAATAAGTGAGATGCTGTGGCACACACCCATGGTCCCAATAGACTTGGGGTCATTTCTATGTTAATACAAGATATGGTAGGCAGAATTTGAAAGATGTCCACATCCCTTCCCCTGGATTTCCACCCACTGATTATTCATTTAAACACAAATTTAGGATCTGCTATAAAGGAACTTTGTAAGTATAATTAAAACCTAAGTCAGCGGACCTTAAAATTCAGAGATTATCTAGGTGGGCCTGACTCCAACAGGTAAGCCCTTTAACAGCAGTTTTCTCTGGCTGGTGGCAGAGAGATCCTATGCATATGGACTCAACATGGCATTACTGCTTTAAAGGTAAAGAGGCCACATGAGAAGAAATACCAAGGGCCTAGAGTAGCACAGAGCAACCCTTGGCGGACAACCTGCAAGGAAATGGGGATCTCAGGACTACAGCCATAGGAAACTGGCAGCAACCTGAATGAACGTGGAAGCAGATTCTTTCCCAAAGCTTCCAAAGAGCCCAGTTTAGCCAACACCTTTATCTTGACTTTAGGAGACACTGAGCATACAGCCCAGGCAATCTTGCCTGGGCACAAGAGGGCGCACCTATAGTCCCAGTTACCCAGGAGGCTGAGGCAAAAGGATCACTCAAGCCCAGAAGGTCAAATCTGTCGTATGTAATAATGGTGCCTGTGAATAGCCACTATACTCCAGCCTGGGAAACACTATATAGTGAGACTCTATCGCTCCAAAAAATATATATATATATATCAGATAATAAATGGGTAGTGTTTCAAGCCCCTAAGTTTATAGTAATCTGCAGTCACAGAAAACTAAGGAATATATAAGCAACCTGGCACACAAAATGTCTTAGGCTAGCAGTCCACACTATTGTAACGAATAAAAGGTAAATTTCCTTAAGACTACCCCTGAGTCCACAAAACGTTTTAATTATGATGTATTTTCCTCATCAAAAGTCAAAAAGAGGCTTGGTGGCTTAGCCTGTAATCCCGTGCCTTTGGGAGGCTGAGGTGAGTGGATTGCCTGAGTCCGCGGGTTCGAGACCCGCCTGGGCAACTTGGAGAGACCTCATCTCTACAATAAATCAAAATGAGTCAGGCGTGGTAGCGCGCGCCTGTAGTTCCAGCTACTTGGAAGGCTGAGGCGGAAGGATCGCCAGAGCCCAGCAGGTCGAGGCTGCGGTGGCCGGGAGCAGCCACTGCACTCCAGTCTGGGTGACAGAGTGAGACTCCAACTCAAAAAAAAAAAAAAAAAGTAAAAAAGAGCCGGGCACGGTGGCTCAGCCTGTAATCCCGCGCCTTGGGAGGTTGAGGTGAGTGGATTGCCTGAGCCGGCGGGCTCGAGACCCGACTGGGCAACTTGGCAAGACCTCATCTCTACAATAAATTAAAAATTAGCCAGGCATGGTAGCGCGTGCCTGTAGTTCCAGCTACTCGGAAGGCCACAGCGGAAGGATCGCCGGAGCCCAGCAGGTCGAGGTGGCGGTGGCCGGGAGCGGCCACTGCACTCCGGTCTGGGCGACAGAGTGAGACTCCAGCTCAAAAAAAAAAAAAACAAGTAAAAAAGTAAAAATAAAAATTGCTTGATGTAGTGACTATCACTGTTTAGCAAATGTGAGTGCCCCCGACTTGAATTCCTGTGCTAATCAGTCACACCTAGGGCACGTAACAAGTACCCGAGGCAGTGAACAGGCTCAACTGCAGAGCTGTGGTGAAAGTTTCTGTGACTTGCTCCTCTGTATGTTCCACTATAAACACCGGCATGCTCCTATACGTACGTGAGGCACTCAGAAATAAAAACTGTCAGACTGAAATGAAAAGTCTTACCTCGGACTAGCCTTGGTTATCCTCAAATGAGCAAGAGTTAGTTTTGAAGGACCCAGAGGGAACACAGAGGAATGAAGTTTCCCTGAGCCACTTTGGCCACAAGACAAAAGCAGCCTTACCTTCACATCTGGCACCTGGGCACCAAGGTTGTGGAGCCCCACAATGGAGTAGAAGGCAGATTCCAAATCCGTGAAAGGGCGGGTCAACGAGGCTCTCAGTCGCTCCACGTCATGCTTGGTGAGGTAGTGAGTGGGCGTCAGAGCCTGGGCGCTGGCTATGATTGTCAGGGCCAACAGGAAGACAGTGCGTGAACCTTGGAGGGAAACGACGGTTAAACACACTCCACACTATTCCAAAGTTCTGCACAGTCCCAGTGATGATGCAAACCAAAGCCTGGAACCAAATCCCATGGGGAAGGGTGAAGGACCTGGCAGGTGTGATGGGAGGAGCTTTGGGAAGTGGTGAGCCAAGTCTTCAGCCTGCACAAAGATGGTATTTCCAACAGCCTCCAGGCATCTGCATGCTAGTAAATCCCATGCCCGCACTCTTCCCACCACTGTTGCTCTTTGTCACTCTAGAGAGTCTCGGTCCTTCCTGCCCAGCACTTTTCCATGCTTTCTCCTGCTTTAACTTTGCTCAAGTTTTACGTTCAGACTTCAGCTCAAATCCAGGGGGAGACTACGTTCAGGTCTAGAATCTCTTCCTTAAGAAGCCCCCCTAGTCAGCCCTTGACACAGAGGTTTGTAAAAGAAAAAAAAAAAAAAGAAACCCCCCTAACAGCCTTCCCTTGGATATGTCCCCCATACAATCATGTAGGACTTTGGGCTGTCTTAAACTGTAGCTCTGCCATCTATTAGCGATGCGCCATGGCACAGTTATTCAGCCATCTGATGCCTCAGTCTCCTCAAGTGTAAAGTGGGAAATAATGGTATCTATCTCAGGGATGAGGATTACACACACTAATGTGGAAAGATCTGGCACACAGCAAGTGCCAACTAGACATCAGTTACTACCTCTACTATTATTTGTCGTTGTTGTTTTATCCATTGATAGCAATCGGTACTTCTCCTATGTGGAATTTTTCACAACTATAACAGTGTAATGCTGATTTCGCTGTAAAACTGTAAATTCCATGAGGATGAAGACTGCTTATTTTGTTCATTCCAGTATTTCCAAGTCTTGCAAGCTGCCTGGCACATAGTAGGTACTGAATAAATATTTGTTGAATAAAGGGAAAGAAAAATTAATCCCCATCTATGATGGCCCAGGGTGCAGGAAGCTGTAGGAGTAGTATAATTTCTACTTTCACTTAAAAAACAAAACAAAACACGGCTGGGCTCGGTGGCTTGCCTGTAATCCCAGCACTTTGGGGGGCCAAGGTGACTGGATTGCCCGAGCCTGTGAGTTCGAGATCCGCCTGGGCAACTTGGCGAGACCTCGTCTCTATAATAAATAAAAAACTAGCCAGGTGTGTTAGTGCGCGCCTGTAATTCTGGCTACTAGGAAGGCTGAGGTGGAAGGATCACCAGAGCCTAGCAGGTTGAGGCTGCGGTGGCTGGGAGCGTGCCACTGCACTCCAGTCTGGGTGACGGAGTGAGACTCCAACTCAAAAAAAAAAACAAAAAAACCACACTTTTGAATGGCTCCTTCTTGATAAAGTGCATCTGCCACTCATGTAACAGCAACAACAAGCAATCACAGCTAACATGAATGATCCTAAATCCTTTGCCTATAGTGTTAAATTAAGCTTGAATTACAATCCCTTTTAAAAGGCATTGTTGGCCACGCACAGTGGCTCAAGCCTGTAATCCCAGCACTTTGGGAGGCCGAGGCAAGAGGACTGCCTGAGCCCACAGGTTCGAGAACACCCAGGTGAGACCCCATCTCTATAATAAATCAAAAAATTAGCTGGGCATGGTAGCATGCGCCTGTAGTTCCAGCGACTTAGAAGGCTGAGGTGGAAGGATCACTGGAGCCCAGAAGGTCGACGCTGGGGTGGCTGTGAGCATGTATGCCACTGCACTCCAGCCTGGGCGAAGGAGTGAGAGTCCAACTCAAAAAAAAAAAGGAATTGCTATACCCATTTTACAAATAAGAAAACTGAGGACCGAGTAGCTTGCATATAGCCAGTGTTGGACTCAAACTCAGGTCTATAGAGTTTGACTCTATAAACTCTAACCACAGAGTTGACACTACACTATTTTTTAAAGAATGTTGTATAAGGGTTGCCTATATTAAGAGTAACTCAGAACATCATTATTCTATGATCTTAGTGCTATTTAACTTAACGAATGTGAAAGACCTTTAAAAAAATAGAAGACTATCTGCAATGTGGAGTATTAATCAAATGTACACTGAATGCTACTACGTGCCAAGCACTATCTTAGTTGTTAAAAATACAGCAGTAAACAGAACAAAAAAACCTCCACCCTCATGGAGCTTGTATTCTAGTAAGAAAAGACATCACACAAAACAATTAAGAAACATCATTTATCGCATTAGAAGGTAAAAGTGCAATGGAAAAAAGTAAAGTGCAGAAGGGATGTCTGGGAAGAGCCACATTGTAAAGATAGTCTGTGAAGGCCTAAATGAGAAATAAAGAGCTGAGTGTAGACCAGAAGGAACATGTCATGAAGACATCTTGGGGGAACCACACCAAGAAGAAAAGGAAGTACAGACCTGAATCAGGAGTATGTATACGTGGAGGGACCCCAACAAACAGGAGTTTATTAAAAAACTGTATTTATTCTTACATGTCTAAGCTTCAGTTACCTTCAAAGTACTCTCCATTTGATGCAATATATCTGTAGAGATGTTGCTTCCACTGCTCACAACAGTTTTTTGAACTCGTCAGTTTTGATTTCTTTTAGTGTTTCTGCCGTTTTTTGTTTCACCTCTTCCACATCGGGAAAAAGTTTCCCTTTAAGGACTTTCTTCAACCAGGGAAACAAAAAAAAGTCACTTGGGGCAAGAGGGGGTGAACAGGGAGGGTGGGTCAGGGAGGTCACACTGATCTTGGGCAAAAACTGCTGAGCTTTCAGCGCAGTGTGGGCAGGTGCACTCATAAGTCACCCATCATGAAATGGGCAAAGGCGCTGAAAGAATCTCCAAAAAAATTTCACTGAAGCCGAATGCAGTCTCTCAAGCAACACTAGCTGGTACACTGATGCTGATGGGTTCCCCCCTAGGGGGGAAGCCTGTACTACAAAGGGTCTGTCCTCCAATAAATGTTTTCTGGGGGGGGGTCCCCACTTGTACACACAGTGTTTTCTGAGATTAACAAGGACAGTGTGGCTAGAATGGGATAAGCAAGGGCTAAGAAGTAAATGAGGTGACAGAGATAGCAAATGCCAAATCCAGAGGGCCTTGTATGCCATTGAGGGAACTCTGGCTTTTCCTAAGCGAGATGCAAGCCGCTGGCAAGTTCTAAGCAGAGGACTGATTTGACTTATACTTTAATGGGATCGTTGTATTGAGAATAAACACTATGACTGTGTGGAGAATAGACTATGCAGAAGCAGGGGCAAAAGATGGACACCAGCAAAATGATGAAGAGGTCCAATCCAGGGGGACGGCAGTGGAGGGGGGGATAAGAAGTATCTGGCGAGAATTCAAGGCTTTAACCTATGAGAACTACTAATGGTTTTAGCCTATCAGAACTACTTATGACCAGAAAGACTAAGAGACAGGGAAGTCAGGCTATCAAGGCTGGATCCCCGATGTCTGTGTACATGCATGTACTCAATGGATTACGATCAAGTGAATGACTACAACCAGCATTTTTTCACCTGGACAGCAAAGCCCCCTAACGCAGGCCTGAATCAGAACCCTCATTCTCTCCCCTCCGATGAGTGACAGCAGTAACTTCTGTGACTATAATTGGAGCAATTAACATGTAGGCCCATGCTATACTAAGTGCTTTACTCGCACCCGATGGGTAAATCTTCACTACTGCCAAATCAGGTGGCCACTTTCTACGTTTTACAGACCAAGAAATGGAGGCTCGAAGTAGTTCCCGGGTCCGAAACACGTGACTGAGACTCCAACCACCACTTCACTACCCTCTACTCCTCAGATAAGGAAGTGATGTGCACTGGCTCGCCCACTGTGCCACCTTCTGGGGGATTCCAACGTCCCACCTGTCAAGTAGTAACAAGAATGCACACTCTCCCAGCTGTGCTGGGACTACGCGAGAGTCCACACTGCGGGCCCACTCGGCTTCCACCGCAGGGAACTTCACCTTCCCGAGTGCCGGGCTTCGCCCTGAACCACGCACGAAGATGAGCTACTCCGGGAGGCAGCAGTAACCCGCTTACTTCACAGGGGGAAACCAGGGCGTAGAGGGTAGTTCTCTGGGGGCCCCAGGCACACGTGGCACCCCGCAAGTCTGCACCCAGTCCAACTTCAGAACTCACGCTCCCAGAGGGGAGGGCGATCTTCTCGCCGCTTTCAACCAAGAGGAAACCACAGCCCGAGAAGGCCGCCCTGCCCAACAGCTCACCCGCAGTCGGGGGGCGCGGGGACGGACCGCAGGCCGCCCGGCCCCGGCGCCCGCGAGGC